ACAACAGTCACACAGACTGAACTTATTGTCCATTTCTCAGTAAGTTACCAGTTCATGCCAATCCTGTTGCTGTATAAACTGTATGTGAGAGGCATTGCAAAGAAGCACCTTTCCACTGACATAGGAAATTAGGCTTTTCCGACTTGAGCAGATTGATGAAAATGTCTCAGCACAGCAGAATGTTAAAATAAAGCCTCAAATTTGGAGATGCCAGCTATAAATGTCCCTTATTATGAGACAAGTTCTCTTAAAATGTGCTCTGTTAGGCTCCATAAATATCACAAAATTCACAGAATGCTAAAACTCTTACTGAATTATTTTGCTGAAAGGTTTGTGAAGTAGGATTTATATTTACTCCTGGAACAAAAATTAAAATGACTTTCTTCACTCAGTCTTCACTCTAGACTATATTTAGTCATTCACAATCAAGTATAGGGTTACATTAAAATACACTTTCTTGTGCTACAGAAGAACAATTCTTAAAGAACATGGTACTTACCACAAAGCATCAGAGTCTTCCTTATACTAATATCTTCCCCAAAGACTAAGTAATGACTCACTTTGTTACCAAAAAAGTGTTGTATTTATAAGACAGCTAGTTGAGTATCAGGCTTTGTCCAAAGATAATTAGGTGCCCTGCCACTGAACTATTTCTTCAACCCTTATGTTACTTCTGCTTTGAGATAAAGTCTTGTTAAGTTGCCCAGGAAGGCCTTGAAGTTAATCCCCCTGCCTCAGCCTTCTAAGTATCTAGAATTAAAGGTCTGTATCATCAGGCCGAACTCCATCTAATGGCTCTTAAAGTGAAAACCCTTACGTTCAAAAAGTTCTAGTGGAATGAATTTATATATTGATATTTAATAATTAAATCAAAACATCTAAATAAACAGGGCAGTACAAAAATGTATACAGGACATCAGTATGCATGGTGTCATGGTTTAGTTGTGAAGGGGGATAAGATTTCAGAAAAGTGAGGCTGAAAACTGTTTCTTTACTATAGGGCAAGGAGACTATGGCATCAGTTTGATGGGAATTACCAAGAAAAATGAATGAGGTACCATTCTCAAACTCCAGGAATTTATCTAACTCTAAATTCTAAAAGAGAGAAATGGAGACAGGCTGAAATTGGATGCTACAGGAATGTAAGATCAACTCTTGGCAAAGTAGTTCAAGATAAACTATAATACCCCAAAGTTATCTTTATAGGAAATCTGTGAATACCCTCTTTGCAAATCCCAGCATCTTCTAAGACCTTACTAGCTGGCAAAATATATATGCCAACAATGGGGAATGTATGCAGCCATTTGTGCTGGCCTTATAACTTAATTATACTGGCAGCCACTGTAACCTCAACTGCACTATTTTGAATGCAGTTCCATGATAAATTTTATTTGCTACTCCAAGATGATCTGTTTCTAGTGACACACAAACACACAAACACACATACACATATACATAATTACATATTGATATATACAGGCATATAGATAGACAAGTTACTTATGTATGCATTTGATAAGTAGATGTTATAGAGAGGACAGATGATGGTAGGTGGGTGGATGGATGAATGGATGGATAGATGATAGATGGATAGATATAGCCAGATGATAGATAGATACAATCAGCCCTGAAACCAGTGATTGAAAACAAATCCTTGTCTTCAAGCTGGCCAGACCTCCTGAACAGAAGCTGGCAGAAGAGGATGCTTAGACAACACTCATGCAGTGAGTCATCTGTGTTTTCACAACATGTTTCTCCCCAGCACCCATGTCTATTTGTAGCCTGACAATAAAGGCCCTATCCAAACCATCTCTGAGCTGTCTGCCTTTAAAAGCAAGGACATTGTTCTCAGCTGACTCACTGGAGCTGCGTGTACTACAGAGACTAACCTGCTGACTTATTTGTGAAGGATATGATCTAACTGCAGACACCCAGGTTTTCCCAGTGCTTTCTGCAAGGTCTTGGCCCTGTGCTTAGAAAGATAAATGAAGGAAGAGAACTTGAATCCTTAACTAAGCTCATTACATACTATTGCTGTACCGTGTAGGGACATAGAAAAAGGTTGCGTTCATTAATAGTCTAGATAAAAGTCACATAAGCCTAAGGTTCTTACCTATTGCGCTCCCCTCTCTCTACCCCCAAAACATAAAATGACTCAAAACATATCACCAAATCCACAAAATATTTTGTTGTCCTCATGCCAAGTCAAAAAATTGCCAGAGGATGAAAACATTAATAAGGTATAATACACACCCTTTCAGTTATAAGATACTCTTCAACATGGCAAATCAGCTCACTGCCTAGTTCTTAAAACAGAACGAAAGCTATTTGTCAATATTTCAGACCAACAAATATATATTAATAACCACTAATTTTCTATCTTCCTTATTAATGTTTCTGCCACCCAGACTCCTGAACACTGTCTAGAAGAACTTGACTCCTGCACACCATCTAGAAGGACTTAGCCTTAAAGTACAGCTTTAACAGGAAAACACCTCATATACAAAAGAAGTAAAGTATGTTCTTCAATATTTTCATTCACAAAACCTTTACAAAGCCTTCCTATATTAACAGTTTCAAGAAAATTATCAATGGAGGTTACAAAATCTATTGGTAAAATGATTACAGTATGTCAAAAAATCCTCATGTGTCTGTATGACTTTGAGTTGCCAAATTCCCCAGATAATATCTGAGAAATGTTTGGGGTCACTGCTACACACACTGATGTTCTAACTCATTCATGCTTCTTCTAACATCTTCAGAACCCAGAAAACAGACAGGGATTACCCGGATCTTATACAACAGAGGGGAATTCCCATGATACCCATTTATATTATACAACAAAGTCTACCATCCCAGACCTCACTCAAATGGAAACTGATTCATACAAAAGTTACCAAAACACACTTAGACAAACTTATCCCCTGGTCTTAGATGCTACATTCTAAAGGTAAATCTGGGGTGGAGATTTGGATCAGTAGTAGAGTACTTGTCCAGGGCACTGGATAGTTTTATGTCATCTGAGAGGAGAGAACCTCAAGTAAGACAATGCCTCCATAAGATTCTGCTGTAGGCAAGACTGTAGGGCATTTTCTTAATTAGTGATTGATGAGGGGAGTGCCCAGACCATCGTGGGTGATGCCATCCCTGGGCTGGTGGTTCTGGGTTCTATAAGAATGCAAGCTGATTAAGCATGAAGGAGCAAGCAGCAGTTCTCCATGGCCTCTGAATCAGTTCCAATCACCAGGTAACTGGCTTGTTTGAGTTCCTGCCCTGACTTCCTCTAATGATGAACAATGATATGGAAGTATAAGTCAATAAACACTTTCCTTCCCAGGTCTCTTTGGTTATAGTGTTTCATCACAGCAATAGAAACCCTAACTAGGACAACCAGTATACCAGAGGCCCTGAGTTCAACACTCAGCATCTTCCCCACCCAAACACACACAAAAAAACCTTAAAGCTAAATCTCACAAGAGTCTAAAGATTATATTTCAAAGAAGCAGTCAATGTACACATGGGAAGTATTACAACATCACCCTCTCAACAGGAAAAAAATCTTTAAGATGTTTCAGTCAAAGCAGACCTCTGTATCTCCTAACAAAAATTGGCTTTGTTCCTAAACATCTGCTCAAACCAAACAGTGCATCCCTGAAACATCATCAGAGGAGTTTCCTTGTTCAGAGGACAGCAATTAACACAGAAGGTCACAACTGAACCCTCCGCTTTTAAGGGTGCCTATACTGTGAGGAAACCCAAGATATCCTTATGGAGAAGCCATGTGGAGCATCCCTTAAACCCAGCTGCTCCAGACACTCTAGCCTAGGCACTTTTGAGGAGAAGCCATCAGACAACTTCAAACTCTAGAGCCATCTAACTGCGACGTGTATGAAGGGTCAAACAAGGTGAACCCATCAGCCGTCACAACCATGAGATGTAATATAAAATGGCAGCTTTACTTAATGGATAAGCATACTTGACCTAAAATATGACCGTGTGATTTTTTTCCCTTAGTACTTGGTACCACAAAAGTCTCTATCTTATCTTTGCATCTAGAAAGGATTCTAGAGCATAAATATTTACTAGAACCAAATGTAACAAAAATAATTTCTGGAAATTAGCTACATTCACAAAAGAAGAAGCTGGCAGGCAGCATGTGTGAAGTCACATGGGTTTAACACTAATGGGTAAGCAAATGGGAGGGCAGAGCTGGAAAGGGCTTCAACTGAGGTTCAGCTCGCCTCCACTGTATATTCAGTACCTAGAACAAAGCCCATAGTATCAACTTTAAGTCATTTTCTCACACCTTGTTCTAACTGATTGGGCAGGTATATGACATCTTTTCTCTCACCAAAACTGAAGCTATTATTTTTGCAAAAAGAAGGCAAACACCACTTTTCATAACCAACAAGCTGTGGTGGCAATTAATGGTATAACATGAACTCAGCAAGGCTCTTTACAGCTCAGTAACAGCCCAGGAATAGAAGAAACAATTTCATCTGGGATTCACTGAAGCTCAGTCCTACTGGCAGGCATGCAAATCCAGCCTTGAGCAAACCACTCCATCGTTTGATGCATGGATTTGCTCACACTAAAATGAGAGCAAAGAATCAAGTAATCACACGTCCCCAGAGAGTGTGCTCGCCAAGTGAAACCAAACACGGCCTGTCCATTCCAGATCGTGGTAGCTCTTAAACCTTGTGCACCACACAGGATCCAAGCAGCTGAGACGCTTTTGCCCAAATAGAATTGTAGATCCTCATTTCCTCCCCTTCTTTTCCCCACTTGTGACTCAAGCCAGATTTCATCGAGCTATTTTTGTAATTACTAACATGCTGGAAATACAGCAGCGAGCCAGAAGCGAAGTAAAATGCAGCATCCAGCAAAAGAAAGAAAATCACGCTGAGTAACTGAAAGGCCATCTGCTGCTCGCAGAGCTACAGGGGTGAGAAGGACAATCTGCGCCGGACTATTTGTGTCCTCTCTCACATCAGACCCACCTGCATGTTGTCAGTGGCATCCCCGAGCAGTCCTCCAAAAGTGATGGCGTTGGTTACCGTTGCCAGATAAATGAAGAGAATTGCCGAAAGAGCCTGAATATTTAAAGCATCATAAAAGTCACTGGCAAAAAATGGTGCTTTCCTCTTTATGTCCTTAATTAATCCACCACAGAACCTGGGCAGGGAGAAAGCAAACATGTGATCAAGTAGAAGATAAACAGCCATCAAATTCATCAAGACATAATTCACTAAGTCGCAGAGAATTTGGACTTCAGATGCTTGAGTCAATGACAAGATACTATATAAGACAGTCTCATTTAGATGAGACAGAAAAAAAATGCATGGGAGAAATACATCTTCTGTCTCTCTTTTTCAGTTACCAGAATAGGTTCAACATTCCCCAAAGATCGTCCAGTTCTTTAGATGACAGCACTGAATAGACAAATTATAATTTTCCATTCTCCAAAGACAAACATGCAAATCCAGTGCACATCTCATAAAGCCTCTTAAGATATCACAATGTCATTTCAGCCCACTCTAGTATCCACTGAGACCTGTAAGATGTGCACACTCAGCCATTATTCTCTGCTGGGAAAACAACATTGAACAATATAGGCTCTGAAGCTCTGACCTCATGGAATTTACTCTTGGGGGTGGACAGTAAGATAAATAAGTAAATAAATAAAATTGAGAAAATTAAATGGATGTGGGAATTACATAGTTCTAGGGAAGAGGCATTGGGAAATGTAGAAAGATGGCTAGACTGAGCCTCTAAGAAAGTGAATTTGGAATAAGGACCCAAGGTAAAGAAGGCATGCAGGTGTGTGATAACCAGTAGTATGTGTTGAGCCCATCGACCAGCCAACTATTTTTCCAACAGAATCTCAAAAATCAGCCTTGCCTATGCAGAGCGTGACTTCTGAGCAAGGTACCCCTTTCTCAAGACTGACATGTTATTCTCAGCTGTGCAGGGCATCCTATCTCTATATCCTTGATATATACTGGGCTGTGTAGCCACTAAATGAATGTGGAAAGGGGGGGTGAAGAAAGAATAAAGCAACAGTTTGATGCATTTCAACACATTAAATTCCATAACTCATATCTGGGCTATATGTTAAAATTGACAAGGTTATTCCTAGCAAAAAGTCTATAAAGAACTGTAGTCATGCATGATGTTGAGATCTATGATGGACCATATATGTGATGGTGGTCTCACAAGATGATTACGGAACTGAAATGACACTATCACATAGATGCATCATTAGATTTGAAAATATTCTCCAGTGCAATTCTCTCCTTGTATGTCCTGGTGATATGCTGACATAAATAAACTTATTCTACTGGGAGATATATAAAAGCATATAATTATACACATTCATGGCTGTGTTACCAGTTCATGCATTTGACATATTACAGTTTTTATTATTACTTTAGTGCATTCTTCTTCAACTTGTAAAAATAAGTGTACTGTAAGACAATATGCCATGTTAAGCTGGCAATGGCTTCATACATGTCATCTTTATCTTGTCTTTTGACTGTATAAAGAGGCCACACTGAACAACAGGTTAATACCTTTAGATTTTTGTAAGTAAACTCTGATATCTGCATGATGACCAAATAACCTAAAGACAGAGTTCCAGACCATATTCCATCATTAAGCAAATCATAAGGTGGGGAGGTTTTGATTCTTAATTCTATCAGAGGAAGGGAATAGTTCCTTTTTACTTTAGGAAGAGTCACCAGCAGAAGGAAATAATTTCATCTTGTTCAGATTCAACTGCATATTAAAATGACATATTTTTAATCCTGTGACTTCCATGTCTTCATGAAAAGAGTATCCCACTAAAATTTGTACCTAACCCCAAATAGAAAGAGATCACCTAACAATGGAGAAACGATCACAATAAGAAGTTAACTGAAGGTTCTTGGGAATCACATTCCTCCCTATGTGGCAAAGGGATGGAGCAGTGAGCAGTGGCCTACAGACCACGCCTTTCCACAACAATGTTACACACTTTAAAGTAAATGTCCAGGGAAGGGATGGAATTATGAACCCACACGAGAAATCTCATCAGTGTGGCCTACCGCCCATTCTCACCTGCCAAAACCTAACTTTCTCTGCATCATCCCATCACTTGTTCCCCTGGTCACACTGTCCAGATGTCAGTCTCCTAGGAGGTCTATGCCTCAGCCCCTTTCCAAACTCATACCCACATCAATTGTCTCCCATCTACTTTAGCCCTTTCCTTGAACACTGTTCTTATCCACAAGACCCACTCAGATCACTCTGTCTAAAAACGTGCTACTACTCATCACCAAAGTCACTTTTTATTTCTTCATTTTCCTCATAAACTCTTTGGTGCATTTATTTTTCTGCTTATGATTTCTCACATCTCTACACAGTAAAGCTCATAAGGCTGGGCATTAATATATTGCTGTATCTCCAGTGCCCCTGACTATTAGATGTACTATAAATATCTGTTGGCTGAACAGAGGATCAAACCAGTAAATGAAATATTGAAAGTGAATTCAGAACAAAGAAGGGAAATTTAGATCTAAGGAAAACCTTATCATGAATGGCAAAAGGTTCCATCAGTTACCGGCCAGTTCTCTGTAGTTCTTCACAGTCACCGTGTCCTCCTCCTCCATGTCCTCCATCATGAGGTGTGTCCCCATTCATCTGGATGTTCTCTCCACCCGAGTACATATTCTTCCTAAGAAAAACAATGGGGTATAAGTAGATATCTGTTTACTGCGTACATTTGCTGTTAGGCTGTAGTATGCTTATAGAGACTTATCGAGGTCTTCTCAGAAAAAGACCATGATGTCTTATTCTCTGCTAACAGACAATTCTTGAAGTGTTCTATCTAGAGGTGAGACAAATGGCTGGGTGAACAAAGACTTTAACTTATTGCACATTTATAGGAATGAAACTGTTTCACCTGGGGAATGACAGATTTCCTAGAAATGACTTCTCAATTTCTCTGCTAAACTGCTTAACCTGCTAAGTCTACAAGGGCTATTCCTGAATAAAATGATCTTTCCACAGGCACAGACAAAAAGTTCCCAAAACATCCCCCAAAGGACACCCATGACACTTTCTGACATCAAGAGCTGAGCTGAATGCCAGCACCAATGAACATCAAAGCATGATACACTTATCTTGCAGTGTCAAGTAAATCTAAAGCCAAGGCATATCAGTAATTCATTTAAGGCAAAATATTTGTGGGGATCTAGGACTATCAAAACATGGCCCGGCCCTAAATCTTTTCCAAATGCAACCTGCTGAGTGGCTTGACACTCCCCGAATATTGTCAAACACATGACGGCTTACCTTTTGTCAGATGATGGGAGACTTTTTGGAGGTTCTATCCTGATTGCTGGGTCCCATTCCCCAGGTGGAAGGACAATGACTTCGTCTAGGAACTCATCAATGCCAGCAATCAGGTCCTGCCTATCTTTTGCTTTGTAAGCAATGTCATGGAACACCTGAATAGCGAGAGATGTGCTGATCAGCCGAGGGAACTTTCTGAATGGCTCACAATACATCGCAGCTGAGTAATACAACCCACAGTGCACTCTGACATGCCCATAACTACACTCTCATCTTCCCCACTATTCAGTCTATTGAGGGGTAAAGTTTATGATCTCAGCATCTAAGCAGAGGTTTGAAAATATGGAATTTTAAATGTGTTTTTTCTGTTAAAATTCTGACAAATGCTGTGAGAGCCAGATGAAAACATTTTCAAGATCCCTACTGAAAACCATTCCCTGAATTAGAAATGTCTGAACAGCTGACTGTAAAAATACAGTAAGACCAAGTTTACGCTATTAAAATCAAGGAAAGACACATTCCTGTCCTCTAACAATGTGGGCTGTTTTAAAAGAAAGAAGAAAGCCTGAGTTATATTGGCAGAAAGGAATAGGTACGTGCTCACCTCCTTCCCGTCTAGCAAGATGATACCTAACTCACCAAATGGAGTATAAGGGTTTGAATGATAAGTGCTCCTCACTGTCTTGGATATTTGAGCTCTTGGTCGCCAGTTGGTGGTACTACTTAGGGAAGTTTAGGAGGTGTAATCTTCCTGGAGGAAATATGCCACAGGTGGCAGGCTTTAGGCACTTAAAGTCTCACTCTACTTTTAGTTTACTCTCTCTGCTTTTGCTTGACTTTGATGATACGAGTTCTTGGCTTTCTGTAACTGTCACCTGCCTCCATGCCTTCCCATAATGGTGGAGATGGACTCTTGTCCCTATGGAGCTATAAGCTTAAGTGTCTTCATTTTTCTGTAAGTGGCCTTGGCCATGGTGTTTCGTCACAGTGACATAACTCATACAGACAGAAAAGGCATTGTGTCTTTTGTTCACATCAGAGAAGAAGTTTCAAGGTAGCACACAATCCCTTTGCTCAGCATCCCATTCTTCTAATTGAGCTGATCTGAAGGTCTTCTCAAAGTCAAACTTGTAAGTTAATAGTTTAATCATCCAGAAGAGAATGTGACCCCCATTCCACACTCTCAACCTGTGCTAATTCTTTCTGCTATATCACTTCTCCTAGAAAATAGTTTTTAGAGCTATCAGGCAACACTAGTTTGGGAGCTCTGGGGTTGAGAAGAAGGCAACATGCAAGGAAAGTTTTTCCTTTGCAGCAGACATAGCTCTCTCCCCTAATATTCTCTGGCAGACAGGAGTCAGAAATATACCTCCCCAGCCAACCTTGCCAGAAATATTGGCAGTTTCAACCAGTGAGATGTAAGAAAAGTAAGGTTGTAAAATATCTTTCATAAGAGGCCCTCATCAATATCAGAAAGTCACTCTATGCCCATTACATGCAGCCTAAAGCATTCCTAATTTATATTAGGAAATAATTTTAAAAGAAAGTAACTATAAACACATAAAGTTAAATAAATCAACCAACTAAAATGAGGGGAATAAATGTTCCTGGGAGACAGCAAAGTTGTGCTCTTGGATCCAAAAGAGAGTAAACCGCTGAACAATAACCATGCAGAACTTCTCTACCATAGAGGGACAGAGCCTCCGACTCTACACTTAACAGGAAAAACTGACAAATTGATCCACGGAGCAAAAGTAAAATATTTGAGAAACAGCAAAGTAGAAAGACTAGAAAGCACAAACTGATACTCGTCTATTCCAATGGCATTTCCTCTACTATAAGACTAGTCCAGAGTTTCATCATAACTAAATATTCTTAGTAATACTAAAGCTACTGCAAGTGTGGATGAAATGTCAGCTCCAAAGCACTGAGTAGTAACAGTACCTGATGTGCCACAGATTGGCCTTGCCACAAGACATAAACCATAACAACAATTATATTTGGATACTCATGAAAATGTACCACCTACTTTTATTATGCATTGTTTTATAAAAGTCATCATGTCTGAAATAATACAGTATAAGGACAAATGTGATCAGAGAATTGATAAATTAGACATTTTAGGAGATAAAGTTAACACAATGACTTTGAACTTATTCGGCAATAATTAAACATCAGTTTAACAACTGTAAATACATAAGGATTGTAACCTAGTATTTGCATATTGGTCACTTCAGACAGTAACAATTTGTTGGTATTGAGAACACTCAACATCCTCTTTGTTAGTTATTTTTGCAATATAGAATTAGTAGCTGTTAATCATCATAGCTCTAATATGTCTCATATTATCATATAGTGTATAACTGAATTAAAACATCACACAATATCCTATAAGTAGGAAAACTGTACGATACTCATTTACTTTAATTTTTAAGAAATTTAGAGTATTTTCTAAATATTTTGCTCATAAAAAGAGATGGAAATGTATTTTGTGTTAGAATCTAACACAAAAGCAAAACACATGCCTTACTTATTGGAAGCTGTTCTACATAAGGAAGATCATTATCCACAAATGACTGTATGTCATTCTGTGGAGAGCCTTGTAGCCAGATAATTCTAACTGAATAAACCATGACAGTCAATTCACAGTTTAGACAGACAACAAGATAATCACACATCCCCTTGTCCTATTTCCCTACCTCGTCAGACATCAAGGTGGCGATGGCTCTTCCAATCTCATGGTAGGACTTGGCTTTCCCCTTTGGACCTAAGAGAATGAACAAGAACCTAATGGAGAAGGAGAGAAACAAAGGCTGTAACACACATTTCATCAAACTGAGAAATCATCATCTTAATCCATCACAAGTTCAGCTGCAGAGACCATCTTTATCATGCATGTGCACCAGCAAGCGCATTCATGTGTGTGCCTGTAGAGGCCACAGGTCAGTGTCTTCCTGAGTAGTTCTTCCCCTTCGTTTAGATACAGGGTCCCTCATTTCATCTGGAGCTCACAGACATAGCCCAACTTGCAGCCCAAGGATCCTCCTGTCTCTGCTTGTTCAGCCCTAGGAGTGCAGGTACACTCAACTGCACCTGCCTTCTTACATCGCTGCTGGCCATCTGAATTTGCATTCTTGTATTTCTGAAGCAACACTTTATAGGACTGAGTGACCTACCCAGCCCCTAGAACTCAAATGAAGAAACATGTAATGCTAAGGGATGAGAAAGATATTCTTTAACCCTACCACAAGGTATTACTGAGTTAATTTGAAGGTATAGAAGAAACCTAAAAGCCTTCTTCATGGAGCAGGAAAAGCTTTACTTATGTACTTCACAAATAACTGATCTCTCTCTGTTTTAAACTTTCCACTGTCTTCATTTCTACTGACTTTGGAATCGGTGGTACAAGTGTGTTAAGGCCATTAACTATGAAGATTTGGTACATTTTCTCATTTCTCTGACCTTCCTGACCCAATATGGGCAGTGACAAATGCTCTTCTCTATATTTTTTAGGAAATACTGTTATTCATCTGAGTGGGATTCAACACAAACCAAACCTTCACACGTAAGCCACATACTGATAAGAAGGAGAAAAAAATATGAGAAGAAAAAAGTACCATTCACAAACAATTAAAAGTCCTTTGTGGGTTCCTGCATTTTCCTTTCCAAATTTAATCTCTTGATACCATAAAAAGTATTGCCCCAGAGCAAATATGCCCTGAAATAAGCAATGATGAACTTGTCACTTTGGAAGGAGTTCCTTCCACACCATGAAGGTAAAGAGGTATGTCTGCACTAAGGAAGAAGGAACCTTAATAAGTAAGTAAATAAGAAAAAAATGTACAAAAGGTGACATTAGGTAAATCCTTGCCTCATGGTTGCTCATGCCTTACCTAACAGGGAGGAAATGAATACAACACATACAATGGTGTCATGTTTCCACAGCTCCAGGAAGCGTGCAAAGCACCTTTATCACCTTATTTAAATTCCTACACAACCCTCCTGCAAAACAGAGCTCATCCTGTTTAGCACTAAGGAATCTGAGGGTGGGGACACAGTAGGTTAGCCCAAGGTTTGTGCTTGGTAAAGGACAGGGCTGAGGACAGAGCATGTGGCCACGACTCGTGATGCTGTGGTTCAACCTTCAGCGTCAAAACAACAAAATCAGGAGAGGACAGACTGCTACACAGGCATTTTATACCCCACTCCTCCAGTAATGACTCTACACATACACACACAAACACACACACACACGCATGCACGCACGCACAATTCTTCTGATACACTGGAGCTGAGATTCAACAAACAAAAGCTATCCAGCAATCATTTCCATGGGTTCCCTCCTGCGAAAAGAATTGTGGATTCTTACTTAGACAAGAAAGAGTAGACAAGATATAGTGGCACTAGGAACAGTTTAGCAGCTTACTTCACTAAATTTTTCTTTTATTTACTTAGTTCTCTAACTCACTTTAAAAAGAAAAGGATTTAAATCAATGTCACCATCGATTCCAAAATGGTCCTAAGCATATGAATACTTTTCTTCATTTGCAAAATTAATTCCAAAGAAGATAGGAAAAAAAAAAGAACAAGGAATTAAGATTGTGACAAATGTCCTTACAAGTTTGGACACTCAGATTTTGTTATCAGAATAACCATAAAGCCATACAGAACTTATGTGCTCAGAACCTGCCCTGTAGTGGAGGCTAGACTTACTGTTGAGGGTTGCCATAGTGAATGAAACAGCAAAGACAATTGGCAACTCTGAAGCCTGCTCAAGGATGAAAGTGGTCACTATTAGAACTGCACTTTATTCTTCCAACACTTCCAGGGATGCTTGGGGGTTTGTTGTTGTTTTGGCCTAAAGGGAATGGTCATTGCTCTTAGCACAACACATGCAAAATTTTTTAGACAATAAGGCAGGGTCCCATTAAGAAAAAATTTTTTTTAATTACCACTGGTTGCATTTATCAATTGTGCTTGCCTGTCTATAAAGCACCATGCCAGAATGACAGAAATGGTTAGGCTAAATGGACAGGTGTAGTAGCATAAAAGAAAGATGTCTTGACACTAGTTAGTGCCTTTGTTTACTGGATTTATCTTGTCTTTTATTGTTTCCATGTATCTAAATATTAATGTTCCAAATAATGTACAATCATTCACATCTTTTCAGGGCCACTTTGTGCCTCTATCACTCCTCTCTGGTACCCCCATGTGAATTCAGCTTGCAGAAACACCCTCTGGAAACTGATAAATGAATTCGTTATCACCTTGTACACACGGCAATAAAACTTAAATAAATATTGTGTTGTCTGTGAGAAATACTCTCGTTCACTAATAATGCTCAAATGTAAAGTTGGCCAGAGGACAGGTAATAACTGTCCAAGACCTGACAGAGTAACGGAGCCACCAAGTCAGCATAAGGGCATACTTTTTCAATAAAACATTTACTACTTGGTCTTTGCTCAATAATACCAAAGAATGGAAGGAAGTAGAACGTTAGTGGAAGCTATAACACATACTATAACAATAAGTCAGAGTATGTGGATTATATTGGTTCAATAACCCAGAAGGAAACGTATCTAGGTTGAGATAAAAAGACATTTATTCATTATAAAAATGTCACCAAGTGCCAAGTGGAAACAACATGGTGACGTAAAAGCAGTTTTCTTATTATTTCGGTTAGGAACAGTTCAGAGATCTACTCCCTGAAACCATGAAAGGAGGAAGTCTGGGCATAGGTGTGCGGCAGCGGCATCGCTGTAAGGTACAAGTTTCAACTTGGCAGCAGAGACGGGAAGCAGCTTCTAATCCAGTGCACTGTTGCAATGGGGATGGAGCTCTGCAAGGCCTGAGACAACCACAGCTGGGAGCAAGTTTGGAAGCCCTGCTCCCTCTGCCTAACCCTGCTCCCCTTCCACCCTCAAACAAGCAAAAGCTGTTTCAACTTTTACGATGGGCGGACATCCTGCCAAACTCAGCTTTTATAATGCACTGAAAACTCCTTTCATGACACAAGCTGGTTTTTGTCAATGGACAGCTGTTATTTTTAACCAGAAGCCTTTTGCTTTATTAACAAATTAAGAGTAAACACCACATTGGTGTGGCTGGAAGTGAACAGTCCATGTTGACAGCTCATGTTATTGGGTTTTTTTCTTTTCACTTACAACTACAAATGTCAGAGCTAGACTTTACAATAATTCCTAGTCATCTCCAGAAGTCCCCTTCCTACTTTTGTAGGATTTTTTTTTCTTCAGGTAACTAATTGAGCCTGCAGAGGGTGCCTCTGGCACACTTCACAACAGAAAGAAAGCCCAGATGATTCGTGTCCAGAACCACTGGCCTATACAAAATAATTCTAGGCAGAGTGAGCACAGTAACAGAAAAGAAGTCGGTCTTCCTAAAGCGCTAGAACCTTTTAGAAAGGACACACCCCCACTTCCTGATAGATCACTATTTCTAGACTGAACCCAGCATGTACCGATCCCTTACTCCAAGCTCTGAAACATCAGTGAACCAAATAACCCATTGTGCATAATGAGCAGCTTTGGAAGATGTGGCTAACTTGTAGCTTCCACAATAGACTCATGAAGACCACAGCCTATCACCACCACTTTAGATGCAGTGCAGGACACAGACAGAATCCATAGCAGGAATGTTGGCCCAAACTCTCTGAAAAATTGTAATTAAATGATTAAGTCCAAGCTATTTTTCATAGGCTAGTGATTAAAACACACAATAAATATGTATTAATTTGTAAAATGCTAAAGAGACAAGTACTATATTTAGGAGGCTAAAGCTCACTGTCTTAGATTAAGATCTAAAAGGAACAAACTGATTTATCGTTATTGCTTCTTACTTTCCTGAAGTGTCTTACCCTAACCCATTTTAGGTACCTCTCTAAGTTTGGTCACTGTGTCAGATGTGTAAAGTTCTACCTCTAGCATGAATAGCAAATCTTCTCATCGCCTCCATTCCAAGGCTGCTAAGTGGTAAGAAGAAAATGAACCAACATATATCTCTGTGAATGGACATAAAGTGACAGCAAGAAATTCAAATTCAAGGCATTAGAAACATCATAAACACATCCTAGCAAGTCACCATACAGAAAAGAATGGTGTGTCTGCTTTTGCATGAAAATCCAGACCCACCCTACACACACACACACACACACACACACACACACACACAGAGCCAGCCATTTATAACCACAGCACTGCGAATAGAGGCTACAAATGACCACAAGAAATGAAGTATAAAGAACCCTGTGAGCTTAGCTAGGAAGGCGACCTGAGAGCCAAACTTCTGAAAAGGCCCAGAATAGTAATGCTGTTTCTCAAGAAGAGTAATAATAACATTCACAGCATAATTCTACTCTAAATTTTAGGAAACAAATAAACATGAAAAGACATGTGCAATGCAAGACTTTTCAATTGTGCCCGCAGAGCAACAGAACAGTGTGCAAGTTAAAGCCCACCAAGGAGCACAGGCTGAGTCATCACAATGGCTGCATGTTCCTCATGAGATTTACTTTACTGTATGTTACAGGACACAGCCATTGTAAATATCCCCCTGTACATACACACACACACATAAACAACAACAACAACAAAGCCAGCTAAGGAGCCTCTCTACTGGGTGATTACAGCTTAATGTGCTTCTGAAGACAACAATCCTGGGAAATATTAATATATGAGGGTATATTTTTCAGATTACAGCCCAGAAATAGTTTTATGATATTGAATTACATCCCTTCACTTGTCTTAAATAGATGGCTTCACTCTCCTTGCTCTTCAGACGATGCCATATTTCAAATTTAAATGACCACCTCACTCTGGTGCGAGGAGAATGAACTAAAGAATGAGGCATATAGGAGGAGATGATAAGAGACAGACAAAAGGCCATGGTTTGAAACTTCGTGTATGTGGATCACTGGTAAAACAAAAGGCCTTTAAAATGTTTTTTTTTATTTGTAGCTTCTAAAGGGGAAAAAAGAGTAATAAAAACGAAAAGGCAAGAGCAATTTTCTTTAATATTTCTCAGCATGTCTTCTCTTTCTGTCTCCAGAAAAGTTAGTGCCGAGACATACAGAAAGCCATCGGGGCACCAGGCTGGAATCCAGACATCCTGAATCAGCGGCTTGCCAGGTGATTGCTCAGACAGAACTGCAAGGCTCCACTGGAACGTTACAGAAAGCACCAATCACAATAATCCCATTAATTGCACAGCTGTGATCGCCTCCTTTCCAACGTTATGCAGCCAATGTCTACCCCAGGTATTTAAAAACGATGGGTGGAAGGACTCATCCTTGCCATCAGGAAGAATGGCTGAAATGAAAGGACTTGGGGACATTGGCTTCTCATTTTCTTCCTAACCTGGCTCAGAACAAACCTTGACCCTCTCGTCACTGTTGATTAACCATGCTCAGACCATCTGACTCCACTAAGGGGAAGCCACCAAAAAGAAGTGACCTCCCTCTGCCCTGAGACCCACAGGAAGCATACTCCTCCCCCGATCAGGCAGCAGTTTCCCAATGTCAACCTGAAGCTACAAATTCCTCTTTAACGTCCTTCTTAGCACAAGTCTAAGTGAGGCATTAGCTTTTCTTCCCCTTATCATGTGCCTCTGTCAAGCACCTGAACCACTAAGCGCAGCTTCGCAGAAAGACAACAAGATGACTTCTAGGGTACAGAGCAGGAGAGTGACATGTGACTGTAGCATAAGTATCATTCCCTTGAATGCAAAATTGCATGCTTGATGTAAAATGTACAAATTTGAGTGCTTAGAAAGAGAACAAATTTTACAAAGATGCACCTTTACATATATATGTATGTATGTATGTATATGTATATGTATATGTATGCATCTATGTGTTGGCTCATCTATATGTGTGAGACCAATAACAATCATCTGATAAGACAGAGGAAATGAAAATAATTATGACCTCAGAACTAATTACTAGTTGTACCAATCTGGGCAAGGTATTTAAACTCACTGTCTCCATCTATTAAATATAGATACTAGAGTTTGCATACTAAAACAATGAGCCACAAGAAGAAACCAGCACACGGACCAATCAGTTAATATAACCGTCATCACCATTACTACTCCAGTAACATGGAATTTGAGAGCACAAATGTCACTCAGGCACTATTTCAAATGAAACATCCCCAGTGCATTGAGTGTATCCTCACTCCACTGATTCACGGACCTAAGAGGGAGAGTGCTTTCTCTTAAGCATCCTGTGAAACCTATGGGGTGGGAGAACAGCTTACCTTGTGGGCACAGGGACCTCAGTCAGAGCACCCAGCATGACAGCCTGCTGTAGCCGAACAAAAGCAATGAAGGGAGTATCCAAGAAGTCAACCTCCCCAACGAGCACGTTGGAAGCTTCTGCATCACGTGGCAGTTTTTTCATAAATTTATTCTTCAGCTGAATAGGAAGGGCCAACAAAATACAACTTATTTCAAGAGAGAGAAGAGTAAGAAAACATACCATATACAATCCTCATAGGAAATCTCTTCAAATGGGTCTTTACACAGCAGTACTTGGCCAGACATTTTTATATTATGATTAACCATTACATTATAGTAAACATTTATCTGCCCCTTCAAAAAATACTAAAGATGCAATAAAATGGAATATATATTATACCCACACTCATATAGTATGCAACATATCTCCATTAATTGATTTATTCACTTACTCAATACACTATTGAGAATTAACAGACAATGATCTAAGCCAGAGGGCTAGCAGGAAGGACTCATTCATTCCATGTCCCCTATTAGATCCATATAACCATGGGGGGCATATAATGTGATATAAAGTAGCAAAATGGGACAGATAAGAAAGAACTATCTCTCAGAGCTATCAAGGAAAGAGCTTCACAAGAAACACATTTGACAGTGGAGAAAGGGTACAATTAAAGTGCAAAGACTTACTGAAACACCATGCAAGCAGAAGGGAAATGAAAAGCCTTTGGACAGGAGGATGCTGGTGGCTAGAGAAGTAGTAAGAAGCCAAGTGTGGGAAGCTAAGAAGCAAGGGTGAGAAGAGAAACTGAAGCTGCATGTGCTATGGGGACAATGTTATGGGTCACTGAAGGTCATGCACAAGGTTTTACGAAGGCAGGAAGATGTCTCCTACATAAGTTGAACATGACTTGGAAGCCACTAGTATTGAAGGCCACAGAACAGAATAACACAACCCTGAGTCTATAAGCATAGACTGAGAGAAGCAGCAAGACCCAGACCCTGGGCCCTGGGCCTCTCTGTCCTTCAGAGAGGTAGAACACATTGTAGAAGACAATGGAGAAGAGCAGTAAAGAAGAGGAAAACTAGGACTTCAGCAACAGCTGGAGAGAAAGGCTGAAATGATGACCAGGTGTTAGCAGCTGCATTCTAAGCTAGTGAAGGTTCCAACAGAATGACGCGTAAGAGTGGATCAAAGAACCTAGCACAACAGCCATGCTGGAAAACTGCAGTAAGAGTAGGTACAGGGGACATCAGGGAACCAACCAAACAATGAATCAGGGAGTGGACATTGGGAGCACTGACTGTTATGTTAAAATGTGTTGCTACAGAACAAAGATGAACAATGGAGAGGTCGGTGGAAGAGAGTACAAAATGGAAAGAAAGTTTAAAAGTGTGAATATCACAGTCCTTTAGAAAGTGAACAGAATGCGCTAATGGAGGCAGATTGCTGCTATAGGAACGGTAGAGAATAACTACAAAAATAACTGCAAACCAAACATCCTGGAACTACCGAGCAGGGGTGGTATCCGCATCACAGATAGAGGAGTCAACTGTACACAGGAACACAGCTTACAATCCTACCAAAAAAGCAGACTGGATGGGTTTAAACGTGGGTGATTTGAGAGACTTGCTAAGTGGTGATGAGGGCTTTTAAGGACTCGCATTTCTGCAGTGAACCAAAAGTGAGCTGATGGTGAGGGGGAGGGAAGTGTTTGGAGGATTAAGGAGAGTGCAAAGCCATTTTCTCTCTGAGTGAAGGCTGCTGGACACAGTTGGTCTGAAAGTTTGTCTAATACTCATTATTCCTCTATACAATTCAGGGGAATTATTTCAAGCAATAATGGATGGATAAAGATAAGAACTTGAAAAGACCACGCAAAAGGTTCAGACTTCTGATAAACACTTTCTACCCCCGATACATGTCTTATCCTTCAAGTCAAAAGCACCTGTGAGCTTAATTGTTTCTGCCATAGATTACTGTTAAGACGGGAGGTGGCAGGCATAGCTCAATATCCCCAATTAATAAGAAGGCTGTGTCAACATTTTCCTTTCAACCTCTACTTAAGAGTTTCTTAACTGGGGAAAATCTATGACATGGAAACTGGTCTCTAGAAGTCTATTAGCCTCCATCACCTTCCATTCCCCCCGTGTAAGAAGGTAGCCCTAAATAGAAAAAACAAAAGAGTTAGAACCAAGACATTGTGGGACCCAAAATAAATGTATAAATAAGTCAAAGCCGAGCACATATTCTTAGATATCCACAACATGGTTACTTTAAGCAGTATGGAATTTTCTAAAACTTCCACCACTTGGCATGACTATATTAAAAATATATTATAATCTCATTTATAAGAAATCTGTATAGAGCTAAAGATCATCTTGCTAGATGAAATAAATAAGACTCTGAGTACAAATATCACGTCTCTCACATCTAATATACACGATCTTGACTGAATTTTTATATACACGGGCATATGTATATAAAAATACAATGAGAACATAAAGAGGATGTGGTCTGAATGGAGGGATAGAGGGACTAAGAGAATGTAATAGGAGGGAGACAAACCACTGCATTTCTTCTGTCATATGCACAATATAGGTTTCATAGATACAGATACATACACACAAGGGGAGACTACTAGGGGATGGGAAGAGATCAGCAAGGAGGGAGGAAAGACAGAGGAAGGTAGGGGGCTGAATATGAACAGAGAACAATGGCATAGGTGTATGAAAGGATAATATAACCCCATTAATTTGTATACTAAAAAAGTTTTTTAAAGTACCTTTTTAACACACAGATATGAAATCAGCAGACCCATAAAAGGTCTAAAACCACCACAGGTCAAAATTCGTATGACCTAGGAAGTTAATGAGGGGTTCCTAATTACACAAAGCAGACTGGAGTGTGGCTGAGTGGCCACACACTAGCAAAATAGTCCTTCTTTATAGACACAGAATACAAAGCACTTAAGAATCTGACTGTCCAGCCCTGTATCTGCACTAGACTCCTGGCTAGAGATAGCCAGACATGCTGCCTGCAATCACCTATGGTTACATGGTCTCATGCTTCCGACCAAGGAGTATCCTTCGGAGTTCAGCACAGCTTGTTCTAACATCTCAGCCCACTTCCTTGGAAACTCCAGTAGTTGTTTCCGAATCACACTCACGTTAGATGTTCTGAAGAAGGTCAGACTGGTTCTTTGGAAATAAACTCAAGATCTACTTTAAGTATAATTCATTTGTAATAAATACCATGAGTGGGAGAAACAGGTTTTGTAGCAATGAAAATCAGATCAATAGACCATCAAACTGTCCAGAAAAGTTATGGAAACTTTTAGGGCTCAACTGCAACAACTGTGCAACTCACAAAACACTCAGAATATTCAGTCCACAAAATACTCAACAGTGTCTGGCTAGTTCTGTCACATTTTCACTGAGATTACTGGAGTCATATAAATCAGCCCTTAGATAAATCTTTCCTGCCTGAACATGCTCCTTGGGTGATCTTGTCAAGTCTCACGCTTTTTTTTTTTATCTTTTTTTAAAAATTTAAATTAGAAACAAGCTTACTTCACATGTCAATTCCAGCTCCTTCTCCCTTCCCTCCTCCCCTGCCTCCCCACCAGTTCCCCCAGCCCCCCTAGCCAATCCCCATTCTGCTCCCCAGGAAGGGTGAGGTCCTCCATGGGGGAATCTCGAGAGTCTGTCATTTCACCCAAGGCAGGGCCTAGCCCCCACCCCAATGTGTCTAGGCTGAGAGAGCATCCCTCCATGTGGGATGGGCACCCAAAGTTCATTTGTAGACCAGGGATAAATACTGATCTACTGATTGCCGAGGCCTCCTCACTGACACCCAAATTTAGGGGGTCTGGATCAGTCCCATGCTGGTCTCTCAACCAATGTTGTACTTGAAGTTCTAGCTAGAGGAATAAGACAACAAAAGGAGATCAAGGGAATAAGCCTTGGGCAGCAGATCAGTACCCATCCCAAGTATACACACGGACTTTGGACTCCAATAGAACAATGTGAGGTGCACTCTCACCCAGAACTCTTGGGAAAGGGTCTAGGCCCTGCCCTATATGAAATGACACACTATGGACACCCCCATGGAGGGCCTCACCCTCCCTGGAGAAATGAGAGGATAACGGGGGGGAGGGGAGGGCACGGGAGGAAGGGAGGGAATGGGAGAGGGACCTGGAACTGACTTGTGAAGCAACCTTGATTCTTATCTAAATTTAAACTGGAAAATAAAATTAAAAAATAGTGAAAAAAATTGTAAAAGAAGAAGTCAAACTTTCACTATTTGCAAATGATATGATAGTTTACATAAGTGACCTGAAAAACTCTACCAGGGAACTTCTACAGCTGATAATCACCTTCAGCAAAGTGGCCAGATACAAGATTAACTAAAAAAAATTATCAGTAGCCCTATTATATACAGATGATAAAAGGGCCAAGAAAGAAATCAGAGAAACATCACCCTTTACAATTACCACAAACAACATAAAATACCTTGGGGTAATGCTAACTAAACAAGTGAAAGAAGTTTGAGTCTTTAAAGAAAGAAATCAAAGAAGACACCAGAAGGTGGAAAGATCTTCCATGCTCTTGGATAGGTAGGATCAACGTAGTAAAAATGGCAATCTTGCCAAAAGCAATCTACAGATTCAATGCAATCCCCCTCAAAATCCCAGCACAGTTCTTCACATACCTTGAAAGAACAATTCTCAACTTTATATAGAAAAAGAAAAGACCCAGGATAGCCAAAACAACCCTGTTCAACAAAAAAAGTCTCATGCTTTTAAAATTCACCTACAGGCTGATGACTCACAAATACATACCTTCAGTCAGAACCTTTAACAAAACTCCAGATCCGCAACACCTCCATCTGGATTTCTACCACACATTTCATTCCCCACATCCAAAATGAGCCTCCCTAATACAGCTCTCCTCCTCCATTCCACCCACCCTCTGAAGCTCTCATTCTTCACTGCCTGCTGAACAGCAGCGATTCCATTCTTCTGTGCCTCAGACCCAAGACTTCACCGTCATCTTCAACCCTTCTCTTTCTTTTGTACCCAAGTCCATTCCGGCAGCAAATCCTGCTAAATCTACAATCGCACTGTATCTAGAATCCCATTGTTTCTTACCACCTTCAATGTCACCACCCTGGTC